CCCCCTCCCTTCCTCCCTCCCTCGGTGCCCCCCCCCGCGCCCCCAGGATGATGGCACAGATCTGAACCTGAGTCTTGGGCGTGGAAGTTCTTCTCTCTCTACCCGAGAGCCAGAAACAGACCCCCATGGTACTCGGGGCTGCTGTCTGCTTTCATAGAAAGTCGCTGTTCTAGGAAGAGGTAAGGGCGATGGTAAAAGACCCCCCCCCACACACGTGGCTTCTGTAGACACAAATGAGGCCCCCAGGATGATGGCACAGATCTGAACCTGAGTCTTGGGCGTGGAAGTTCTTCTCTCTCTACCCGAGAGCCAGAAACAGACCCCCATGGTACTCGGGGCTGCTGTCTGCTTTCATAGAAAGTCGCTGTTCTAGGAAGAGGTAAGGGCGATGGTAAAAGACCCCCCCCCACACACGTGGCTTCTGTAGACACAAATGAGCCGGTTAGCTGGCTCAGGTGGACAGGCCTGGAGCTCCAGCACTCAGCAAGACTGAGGCAGGAGGATCACGGTTGATAGTGAGTTCGAGCCCAGCATGGGCCACTTAGAGACTCAGTGGAATGCTGTCTCTAAATAAAAAAGGGCTGAGGATATAGCTCAATGCAGAAGCCCTGGGTTTGTTAGGCAGATAGACCTTAAATAGGTATGACCTGAGGAAGGAAGGCGGGGTTTCAAAATAGCATGCATTTCTAGTTAATTGAAGAAAGATTTCCAGGTACAATACCCTCATAATCGTGTGGTAAGTCTCAGACCTAAAGCAGGTCCCCAGAGCACAGTGACATCTTCCGGCTGGGCACATTCCTTCTGATTTCTGGGTGTCACAGCCTGCAGCCTGATCTCAGTAAGGGAAATGATCTTTGAAGACCCTCCCACCTTGGGCTGGGATCTGGTTTAAATTAAGAACTTATCCTTTCTAAATTTCTTACACGATTAAAGCCCCTGAGGAAACACTGACCATCTAAGAAGGACAGTTAAGATATTTTGTAATTCCTGAGTAACTTCTAAGCAAAATGGCAACAAACATCATCTTAATTACTCTAGGTCCCTGGGCCCCAAGGGTAACTCTTGGATTTGGATAAAAATGTATCCAAACTTTCTGGAAGTGGTGGCACACACCTGTTATCCTAGTGCTCAGGAGGCCGAGGAAGGAGAATCTCCAGGAGTTTAAGGCCTGGATGGGCTGCATAGTGAATTCAAGCCCAGCCTGAACTACTAGGGAGCAAGACCTGTCTCTTTCACTCTCTCCCTCTCTAAAGAAAAAAGTATCCAAACTTTTACTAGGTGCAGAAGATTTTGAGGCACTACACTTGAGACTGCAACACTGTACACCTCACCGTGAATTCTGCCTAGACTTCTGCATAGCCTGTGCCTTGACTGAATTCTTTTATCAAGGGCACAAAGAACCGAGGACCGAGGGAGGAAGGGTTCGTCGCTGCATCGATACCTGGCTTCCACATGACGGGTTCAGTTCCCACGATTGCAATAAATAAATAAGTATGACATGAAACCTAAGAAAATAAAATGAGCATTGCTGGTGGTTTTGTTTCACTCAGAGTTGATGAGGGAATGGTGTCAGATGCTGTGCTGGTCCAAAGAACAGACTTAGATCTGGAACACTGACAAGTAGCCGCAAAGGGAGGAGAATTGGGCTTATTCTGGGCAGCAGGAAGAGGAGCCAAAAGAAAGTGGAGCAGGCAGGATTTCCCTCTCTACAGATCAGAATTATTCTGCATTGTTATCAGTTATGCATGATTTCCAAA